GATCATCACTCAAAATAAGAGTGAATGATCATAAACGCCTGCCTAACTAAAGGCCAACCAACAGGAGGGAACACAAGCTTACAAGAATTTAGAAAAATAAATCGTCTATAGCTGCACATGCAGCATGGGACAAAACCCACAATATCGATTGGGAGAATGTTTGTATTCTGAAAACTAATATGAACAAATAGAAAGAGAGACTACTAGTAACAGAATCTATATTCTCATTATGGTCACATCGGATACATGTAAGAAGGGTGACTCAGCAGCACAACTGTCAAGAACCTGGAATATTATAATTCTGGATACACAAAAATGAAGCAGATATTTGTGAATACAAATGATAAAAGTGTGGAATAAAAAGGAGAAAGATTCTAACAGTGGTGTGAACACGGGCAGTAGTAAATTTGCTCGAAATATTACCAATAACAAAGCTTATCATTGTGTGTAAACTATTGACACGTAATTATACTTGAATTGGTGAATGGTGACTAGCAGTGGAATCAAGCCAGGATGCTCATTTCGTAGTATTTGGGACTCATCACCTGGAATTACCTGCATTTCTCAGTGAATGATGATGTTCCCACCGAGGTTCGAACACATACTGCTCATAGTTTCAAACACACCCACTAGACCAGTTGGGCCACGAGAGCCACCACATCTTGTGCAAGGGATCATATTAATTCAATTTTAGACTTTCCTAGACATGTCAACCTGAGACCAAGCACTTCGGTTCAATCAATCGACAGGAAAATCTAAAATTCAGTTAAAATAATTATATTTTATTTGATCTATTCCACAATGCTCAAACTTTCTACTGACATTAATTCGTCTACATACATGAGTAAAAAACTGATCAGACATTTGAATTAAATCAGTATAAGATTAAAAATACATTTGGAAAACGTCATCAGTAAACATTCCTGTATAACACCACCGTGTGTAATTTTATCAAAATAAAATTTTATCTATAATCTAATTGTACTCTACCGTCACAGTTCCCAAATTTTATTCTTCTATCAAGAAGGTATTTGTGATTCTCTATGGGCGTTCCCCACCCCCACCCACCCCCAGTATTCAGGTTGACTGACAGGTTGAAACATGTTTTCACAAATGTAAGAGTCATTTGGTTCACACACACACACACAGGCACACAGAATATGGAGGATATCACTTTCTGTGTCATGGTGTAAAGCAGATTGCAACCTGACTTTCACATGTTACTAAAACGAACACTTGTCACACCTGAATATTCGTGTTGGGGATACCGCCATTCACTCATTCACGCATTCATTCATTCATTGTTTTGTAGAGGAAAGTAAGTAGGGAGAGTGGAATCTCAAAACATGTCTGTGCTGAGTTGTTTTGTCACACCGCCTGTGTGAGAATTTGTCCTTGTTTTGTGCACTGTTTCTATAGTAAGGATTACGTATAGAGAGTGTAATTCATGAATTCAGTTGGTTTCCACAATTGAGGTTTGTTACTTCTCCTGATGGTTACAAGTGACGTGTGTGTGTGTGTTTGTGTCATCAATTCATACAACAGTTCTGAAAAAAAATGTCGGTGTGAAAATGGAGTGTGTGATTGTTTGTCTGTAGTCTGTCTGTGAATGTGGGGGTATACCGGCTTGTATTTAGGGAAAGAGGAAGGTAGTTAGCTACCATGATAATAATGTTGTATGCGGCACACTGTCACAATGGTTCTTTTCAATTTATTCATTCGGTGTTATTTTCGGTTGATTCAGACTAAGTGCGTAGATTTGCTTGAACTTTTATGAATGTGTTATTCTTACTGCTTCAGGCTGTCAGTGGGACTTACCACTTAGGCTTCACGTGACCATTTCACTCTCTTCCCAGGTACCATATTAAGCACGTTCTTCCATAATTGTCTATAAACTTTTATCTGCTCTATGTCAAACTGGGAGTCACATCCAACACTTCTAAGTTGTGAACTGGCAGAAGTTATAATTCATAGACCATTGGAACGAGTGCTAATGGCTTAATGGTTTATTAGCTCGCCTTGTAACCGGAAGGTCCTGGGTTCGCCCCCCCTTGTGGTGGATGCGGACTGATGAAGGGTCTCGGACTAGGCTCAGCTTGTTTTCCAGTGTTTCTCTAACCAATATCAGCTCATGCTGAAATCCTTCAACTAATGAAACAAAACTCTACTAAACAAGAAAAGTTCTCACTTTACCACCATAGTTATGTGGTCTTTCTGTAACTGATTATTTTCAAGTTCCAATTCGGTGTCTTGATCACTTTAGTGAGTTACATTTCGAAAGCAAATGCGTCAGTGATAATACACAATCAAATTTCTGATAGTAAATTAAAAATATCAGTTACAATTAAGAAAAAACATTTCATGCAACAATTGAAGATAGTTAAAACAATAACGTTGCGTTGGTGGCATAGCGGTTAGGACGGTCGCCGACCATACACATGGTTCGGGCTTCCATCCCCAGCCGACGCACTCCAGTACCTCTCTGTCTCTCTGTCTATCTGTCTGGATTCAACATAGAACTTGGCACCGAAGTGTAACAGTTCGAGTTGCCACGTTCCAAATACCACACAAAGGTAGACAAGAACATGACGAGTGAAGAGAATCAATAGAGTTTGACAAGTATAAGAGTGAAACAGAATGGGTAATGGTAGAAAGGAATATGAAAGATTACAGAGACTGAATACATCTCTGCTGGGCAGTGACAACGATTTTGAGCCATGTCACCGCCTATTGTCTCCAGCCATTGATTCCTAGAGTCAGTCCCGAGGGCCCCGACGCGGAAGTCTGCATCTTCCTACCTGACCGACCGACTCAGTTTAACTGTCAAGGATTTCATGGATTGATGAGGCCATGTTTTTGTTTGGCCACCACTGGCTCTTTTCCAACCTGCACCTATATCAGCTAGCAATGCCCGTCGGGGGAGGCGATGGTTAGGCATGCGCAGCACGTAACCTATCCATCTCTCTCAATCTATGTAACTTTATAGCCTCGTCGATTGATTTCCCCTCTTTGCCCAACACTCTACGCCTAACGTCAGCATTACTTACCTTATTAAACCATCTAACGTGAGAAAGAGATCGCAGACATCTATGATCGAAAGCAGTCAACCTAACTAAGCCAGAAATTATACTAGTAAAGAGGAAAGGTTGGGCATGAAGCTAGTAACTTCTTCCTGTGAAATAAACACTGGCACAGAAACTTTAAGCCACTAGCTTGAGGTCCTATTTTCCACTGAGAACGTGAAGGAAAAAATTATTTATAATTAATTAAAACAATAACAGATTGTATTAAGCTTTGGAGTGAAAGTGGAAACTGTCGGGTTTTCAACGTTCACATGGTGATGACCAAGGTATGGTAATATGAATATGAACTTCTTCCACCTGAAGTGTTTCAGATGGGTTTCAATGCCTTCAGCTATGTATGTTGTAGACGACCACGTAAGAAAAAATTCAGTTTAGTCGAAATATGAAAAATAACGTTAAAAGCCTTTTAAAAGATCTTCGACTTCACTACCTACAATGTGTGAGCTAGGCTCCCTCCACACACTATCAAAAGGTTAAATGAATTTGTTAACCTAAGGTGTGAAATTATCGTCGAACATGACACGTTGGAATTTTATGAATTATGTATTAAAAATCATTCTTTCCCGAGGTAATTTTATAAAACTTTGAAATTCAGTAAATTACAACCAAATATCTCTAATCTTTTTCGTCTTACAAAGTCACATATCGAAAATGTTAAACAAACCTTACAAGTTCATGCATTTATTCCCCTTGATAAATTTGAATAAAGCGAGAACAACATTGATTTGTGCAGAATAACATGGTACCATCATTTATTTCGTTGGCTTCTCGTCAGCTGCTTACAGCCTAAATAAATTTTCAGGTTTAAGTACAGAAACGTTTTAACGTACTTGCAAATTTTACATGTTGACAGAAAGTTTCACAACTAGTAAACAGTGCTCAGAAAATTGCGCTTATATAGTTTTTACACAGGCAGTTCAAGTTAAAAAATAATAAATAAATTTATGTATATAATGGTAAGGGATGTGCGTTGGATGCATAGTGGCTAATAAGTTAGATAACAATGTACTGAATTGAACTCAAATCATAGAAACAAGAGACAAGCAAAATTACAGAATATAAAAGAGGTTGAGGTTAAAGAAAAAGATTACGCAATCAGATGGGAGAAAAAAGACATCCAGTTACCAAGGCAAGGAAAGACTAATAACTGATTCTTTCTGAACACATAGATCTGGTTTCAAGCGTTTGATAGAAATTGCTTCGGCAAACTTGAGGAGAATGGAGCTCCTTTGTCTATTGATAATTTTGAAGGATTTCTCGATTTCCACCTCATGACCCGTGTCGAGGAGATATCTGGTAATAGCGCTGCTATAAGAGTTTGTTCCCTTGAGACGTAGGCTTTTCGGCACATGTTCAGAAAATCGGAGGTGTGCCCTTGGGTGTAACATGGATGTACAATTCCAGTTTGGCAACACTCTTTACCGACAAATAGATGGTGTAGCTATGGGCAGTCCACTTAGCCCTGTTTTAGCAGATATCTTTATGTCAAACCTTGAGAAAACAAAGCTGAAGCATGCAATTGATCAAACAACTTCCTATTGTCGATATGTCGATGACACATTTGTAGTATGCAACAACGAAAGTCATGCCTCCTACCTACTCAGACTATTCAACAACGCACATACAAATATTGTATTTACTATGGAACATGAAAATGATGGACAGTTCCATTTCCTTGACGTCGCCATAAAACGCCTAGAAGATGGTAGCCTCCAGAGGTCAATCTACCGAAAGCCCACATGGAATGGACAATACTTACATTTTAATAGTTTTTGTCCAAATAGCTATAAACGAGCACTAGTCAAGACTCTGTACTATAGAGCGAGGAGAATATGCTCTGCAGAGAAACTAGAGGAAGAATTCACGAATCTCGAAAAGGTGCTGAAAAACAACGGCTATACTCAAAAATTCATTAACAAATATGGAAGATGTGAAGGCCCAAATACCAAACAAATCACAGTCGAAAAAAAGCCTGTCTTCATTCAACTAGACTTTAAAGGTGAAGACATTGCAGAAATGGTCAACAGAAGACTGAGGACGTCACTAGCCAGAGCCTATCCTGCAGCTAAGTTGGTTCCCGTCCACCGAACAACATGCTCTTTGGTGCAGTCAAAAGTCGATAGATACCCTTCTCATGTTAACTCCAACTGTGTATACAAATTTACGTGTATCTGCGGGAGCAGTTACATTGGGAGAACAGAAAGAAGGGCACACCTCCGATTTTCTGAACATGTGCCGAAAAGCCTACGTCTCAAGGGAACAAACTCTTATAGCAGCGCTATTACCAGACATCTCCTCGACACGGGTCATGAGGTGGAAATCGAGAAATCCTTCAAAATTATCAATAGACAAAGGAGCTCCATTCTCCTCAAGTTTGCCGAAGCAATTTCTATCAAACGCTTGAAACCAGATCTATGTGTTCAGAAAGAATCAGTTATTAGTCTTTCCTTGCCTTGGTAACTGGATGTCTTTTTTCTCCCATCTGATTGCGTAATCTTTGTCTTTAACCTCACCCTCTTTTATATTCTGTAATTTTGCTTGTCTCTTGTTTCTATGATTTGAGTTCAACTCAGTACATTGTTACCTAACTTATTAGTCACTATGCATCCAACGCACATCCCTTACCATTATATACATACATTTATTTATTATTTTTTAACTTGAACTGCCTGTGTAAAAACTATATAAGCGCAATTTTCTGAGCACTGTTTACTAGTTGTGAAACTTTCTGTCAACATGTAAAATTTGCAAGTACGTTAAAACGTTTCTGTACTTAAACCTGAAAATTTATTTAGGCTGTAAGCAGCTGACGAGAAGCCAACGAAATAAATGATGGTACCATGTTATTCTGCACAAATCAATGTTGTTCTCGCTTTATTCAAACCTTACAAGGACTACTTGTTCTTCATACCGATGCGTCGCCTATTTTATCTGAATTATCAATAACATGCCACATGAAATTTCTTCAGTTTTGTAAAGACGTTACTCAGAAAACGAAGACGGATATACAAAATAAATTGAAGAGTTCAATCGATGATCGGAACCGCGTAGATGTCTTTCTGGTGAATCCTGATAAGTACATTACAAATCTTTCTGACTTTACTCTATCTACTCATCAGAAAGAAGCTTTATCCCTTGGACTCAAATTTTGTGTTCCTCGTACGCAATTTACGGATTTAGCCATCCATGCTGAGTTTGAAAACTTATATGACCAACTCAAACCTCTTACCGCAACATCCGATGAAGATCGAGGTTGGTTTAAGGCCAAGATGGTGGATATAGCTCACCAGTTTTTAAACAACAACCCAAAGGAGAAAAGTATTTTAAATTCCCAGCATTTTAAAGCCTTGAAAGAGCTACGGGAAAATTCTAATATAATTATTACTAAACCTGATAAAGGTTCTGGAGTCGTCATTATGAATAAAGGTGACTACAAATCCAAAATGATGTCTATTCTTGATGATAAGAGCAAATTTAGTCGTGATCCCAACTCAGAAGATATTCAGTTGTTGCAGGGCACAGTGACAGCTAATCTACTCAAGCTTCATGGCCTAAATGCTATAAGTAAAGATAAACTTGACTCATTAAAACCGTCAGATTGTAAATTCCCACATATGTATGGGTTGCCAAAAATACATAAACCCAATAATCCTCTACGTCCTATATTGTCAATGTGCAAATCCCCAACGCATGAACTTGCTAAATGGTTAGTGGAATTATTATTATTATTATTGTATCCTTTAGTTCCTAGAGGAACATAGGGCTTCAGCTACGCACCTCCATTGCCTTCGGTTTTCTGACAACTTTTTCACCCTGCTCCAGGTCTGTCCACATGCTTTCATCTCCTCCTCGCATGACCTCCTCCAAGTCACCCTTGCACTGACGACCAACTCGCCGCCTCCCTTTCGGGTTCCACTCGAGCAATGGCTTGTCTAGTGATGTCACTTGATGGTTTCCTCAGAGTATGGCCACCACTCCAACTCCATTTCTTCCTGCCTATTTGTTTCACAATCGGTTCCTGATTGGTTTGCTCCCAGAGATCCCTGTTGCTGATCTTTTCTGGCCGGCCATCTGATCTTGAGTATTGAGCGGAGACAGTTGTTAATGAAGGTTTGAAGTTTGTTTGAGATGCTCTTTATGACTCGCCAAGTCTCTGATCCGTATAGTATTGAATTATTGAATCTAGTCAAAACACAATTCTGTAAGTATGTGTTAAAAAATACATTTCAGTTGGTCGATGTTCTTGATGATAGTAATATTAATACTATGAACAAGAAAATGTACTCTTTTGATATAAACTCGTTATTCACTAATGTGCCTTCGCTAAAAACAGTTGACATTTTGTGTGATTATATTTCCACAAACAATTTCTTCATCCCGTTCCCTATATCTTATTTAAGGGATTTATTACTTCTATGTACTAACAATGTTAGGTTTACATTTGAAGGCGATTGTTTCCGCCAAGTTGATGGTGTTGCTATGGGCAGTCCGTTAGGGTCCCTTTTAGCAGATATTTATATGTCGTACATTGACAGTTTATCGGAGGATTTAATCGAAAATGTAGATGATATTGTAATCATTAGTGATGACAAGTCTTGTTCTACCACCTCAATTTTAAATCGAATGAATGAAGTTCAGAATAGCATATCACTTACATCTGTAGAAGAGGAAGATAATTGTTTATCTTTCCTAGACATATTGCTTCGTCGACGGCTTGATGGGTCAATAAAAAGATCTATTTATAGAAAACCTACCTGGACAGGACAGTATCTTAATTACCACAGTTTCTGCCCTATTCGGTACAAAAGAGACTTAGTCAGGTGCCTCTTCAGTAGAATCCGACGAATATGCACTGAAGACACGCTTGACGAAGAAGAAAGAATATTGACACAAACTCTGGTTGATATCAATTATCGAGACAAGTTCATCAAAAGATATAAAGTAGTCAGAACACTAAGACCCACTCTCCAACTCGCCCCTAAGAAAGACGTGTACACTAAGCTACCCTATATGGGACATCAAAGCAGCTTGATAACTAGACAAAGGCTGAACGCTGCTGTTAAAAAGACTTTTTATGCAGCTAATATCATAATATTAGAGAATGTAAAGCCATTATATCTATCTAAGCCCTTCGAACATGCGAAAAATGACGTCACATCCCACTGTATTTACCTATTTGAATGTACCTGTGGACACACATACATAGGGAGGACTCATCGATCTCTGCAAGTAAGGGCTTCAGAGCATATTCCAAAATGGCTCCAGAAACAAATGGAATCATCAGAACCTATTAACGGTGAGAACAGGAGACCTAGCTCTTCTATTGCGAAACATATTATAGAGACAGGGCATAAAATTGACATTAACAGATCTTTTAAACCTATCTATAAAACGTGTTCGGGGCGTATCCTAAAGTTTGTAGAAGCCCTAGCAATTAGAAAGTTCAAGCCACCTTTATGCGATCAAAAACAATTCATCATCACATCAAACCTTCCTTGGTAAATTTTGTTTTGATACCATAGCAGATGTACTATTACCTCTGCTATTTGGTTTAGTGGTCTTCATTTTTATTTTTTGACCTTGAATATGTCCTTTTAACTTGACCTAAGTCTATTTTTCTCACCTCTTACCTCTTTATTAATTTTTTATATATATATTCCTATGACAAGTCCGTGTGTGATCAGATTGTTCGAAATGTGTTGCGCAAATACATTACACGATTCAGACAAATTACGTCTTCTTATTGCTTTATCCAAAATAATTAGTAGTCCTTGTTTGTCCCAGAATGATGATGTTCAGAAATCCAATGATATGAACATGCAGCATAGTTGTACCTACAATGCGATCGCCTTTTCAGAAGTAGTCAAACTATTATTTAATTCTCGTTGCCCAAGTGATCTAGTGGATAACACTTTAGCATTTTAAACTTTTAACACTGAGTTCGAGCCTCGATGGGAAATGCCGGCATATCCAACTGTGACAAGTCTCAAATAGGACGAGATGCGCATTCTGGCTGGATTTCACTGCTAGTCAGTATCCACCAATCGACTTCAAGCAGTCAAACTGCTGGATATACATATTGAGAGAATGGGCGAAGTTATCTAATTTATTCTCATTTGTCGAAAGTGAAATTGGCGTGGTCATCGACGAACACTAGTCGAATTCATGGTGCATTCAATGCTCATTTGTGTATTCTATTATATCCTTTAGCCTACTGTGCTATTATTGTTCCTATTATTCCACTGATTTTATCATCAATAGAACTCCCATTGTTTCATTCATTTTGGAAATAAATCTTCTGAAAAACACAAATTCACCTGTCTGTCTAGAAACAAGGTAATTCCGACAATTAGTGAAAAATAGAGAATCGAAACCCTGGGGGAACTCCTAGAGAAATCAACAATAATTAGTGTTTACAATAGTTCCCCAAAACAGTCACGCCTTTTATGTGTTTACAAGAGGAAATACGATTGGGAATTATCTTGTTTAGTTAACAATCTAGTCGAAAGTTGGTTAAAGTCTAAAATAAAACCGAATAGTTGCGTCGTCTCGTTTTATTTTATGACGCTTCAGTCACGTAGACACTTTTAACTACGGTGAGAAGCAAGTTGGAAGTGATGAAATTATGAGTCAAGAATCTGATATCAAATGCGCTTTTTTAATGTCTACTGTCATCAATGAGGTGAAATAATCTTAGACGGAATAGTAGTTCCATTTCCTTCCATTTTCAGTGGTCTTGCCTCACCTGATATTGGTTTGTGGTGAAGTCTACATAAATTGTAAGGTGAATCTTGTCTGGAAAATCCGTCATGAACAATCTCATCATAATATTTCTACTTATTTGAATGTTTCAGCTGACTTGATAATCGTCATCCCCTTTTTGTATTCTCCTGGACTGTATGACATTATTATGAAACTTGCATATATCACCTGTTGATGTGTTCCTTATAATCTGTCAACGTTCCTGTTGAATCTCTAATTTTTATAGGATACCTTGGTACTGTGTTGTTTGATGGTTTGATTTTGTTTGTTTGGACCACGATCATTCTGACCTTGGACTATCTGTGTGAATTACCGACGTGTGACCCTTGTGGACAGGGTTTCGTACCCTCCTACCTTGTTGGAAATATTCTACTTAATTCTAAGTAACGTCTTACTAGGACGATCTCCTCAATGTATAACTGCTTAACAGCACAGTTGAGGTTATTTCGAGTTTTTGATATTATTACTGTTGCTAAGTAGAACCACAGAGATCTATCGATGAATAATTGTCTTTTTGTTGTCTTTGATGGATTTTATGACTGTGGGTCTCTCGGAGTAATTTCGGACGCCTATGCAGTAAGACATAGAGATTGGATCATTGTATTCAGGCCACAACGAGTCTGTCTTGGTCGTTGCGTAAACATGGAGTTCATTTCTTACATCGAGTTGTTTCCATTCTGCTTCTTGGTGATGTTCAAGTGGTGGAATTTAATCCGTGCATTTCCCTCAACTGAAGAACTTGTCAAATATCTGCTTGCATCGTGGAATATTTGCTGTTATTTGAAAAAGAAAGCTGAGTCAAAGTACCAAAAAGGTTCACAACAACAAAGTATCTTATAGACTACGGACATGACATTGTCTCTGTCAAGTTACTCCCTCAGCAGACAAGCAAACAGATAAATGGTTGGCGTTTTGTAGAGGCTTACGCAACTGTAATTTGTAAGCCCACTGTCTCTCTTTCTGTGTATAGAAGGAGATATTAATCACTTTAAATCAACGACGGCAATATCTTTCATTTATCAACGAATAAAAAGACAGTTTCAGAGAAGAAAATTT